AGTCAATAGATCCAATTTTCCCCACCTCAGCACCACTGCCAACTACCTTCATCCAACCATCTTCCTCTCTGCCTCTTTCCTTTTTGTTTCCTCCAATCTTTCACCACACTCAGTCTGAGAATGTCTACCAAACCACTTATAGCCTCAAAGCCTGGAGAAGCCTTCCTCCCCATCTTCCTGCTTCCTCCCTGCATGAACATAGCCTCCCTCCAGAGGCAGCAGTGGGCAATGGGGTCTAGGGAGGTTGGAGGGCAGTTGTAGACCAGATCCTGGTTGTCCAAGGTATCAGATGGAACTAAGCTTCGGCCCAGATGCCTTCACATTAAATTTCATTATGACTTTTATAAATTAATTATTTGACTCCTCCAGTAGACTGAGTTAACACGAAGCAGGGCTTACTGTACCTCAGGGCCAGCTCTGTACCGGATATGGAAAAGAAACTCAATACTATGCTGTCGAACAAATAAGTTAATAACTGGATGTAGATAGGTGAGTGATTTATAGTTATATATGTATATAACTTTATAGTGTGTATGCATATATATATATATTTATTTGTGTGTGTACGCATGTATGTGTATATATATGTGTGTGTGTATGTAGTGTGTGTGTATACACACAAAAAAACACACATGTAAACAAAATTGCCTTGGACAGGTCACAGACATAGTTTTAAAGAACTTCTGAGTTCTGTATTTAAATCAATAGCTCTTACATCAATAGCTCTTAAGGAGAATTTGTTTCTCAACCAACTACTAAGATGGCCAGACCTCTTAGTTTTCTAAGAAAATGAATAACAGTTTATAAAATACATAAAGCACAATGCTATTTGGACCTTATTTGGGGCTGAACGGTTAACATTTTGTTTTAATGAATACAACACAGAGATGAAAATTCTAAGTACTGAAATACCTCCTCTCCAGATCTATAGGTCCACACAGTCCTGACCTAATGGATTCTCCACTCTGGGGATAAGAAACTAACACAGATAAAAAACTATCCTAGCTAAGGAAGCCAGAGCTGTTCTGGTACTGTCTGGGGTCCAGGGCATCCCTGCTCAAGTGGTTTTTTAACCAGGCTGTTTCTTTTATAAAGTCCACACTCCCAGGTATGAGGAAAGAAAAGGGTACAGAAAAATGATACATTGGCAGGACAATTGTGTCCTTACTTGGAGAGGGAAAAAACATTTACCTCTGAATTGGCATTTTGTGCAAAAGACAAGGCTGAATTGAACCCATCACTGGGCATGTGGACTGTCTCTGGACACTGCCATTCCTCAGGAATTAATGACACTAACTTAGGGGTGGTAGATGAATTAACTCTCTGCTTCTTTGTTAAATCCTGGGTCAAACCACTTTTATAACGTATGCATGTAGACTTATGAGCAAGTCCAGAGGTGGTGTTTCATTTTATTCAAATGAAATCTTCAAGCTTTCACTTTCCTAATCTCAGGAAACTGTCTATATTTCTTTTGGAGAAAAGTGGTTTAATTTTTCCAGAGATGACTCCTCCATAACTAGTAAAAGTGGTCTTGTAAAGTAAAGAAAGTTAAGAAAGCAAACCTAAGTAACCTTTATCTGCATCCAAAACTTACCTGAACTATCCTTAAAAAATTCTTATTTTGTTGTTATGAAACAAGGCGAGGACTGACAGCATGCTCAGTGATAGTTTAAACTGCCATTTCCTAGCTGTATGATGTTAGCCAGGCAAGTTTTCTTATTTGTAATATAATAAAAGAATCCTGGGACCAGCAGTTAGTGTAATGGCTATGTCGCTGGACTCCCATGTAGTCGACCTTGATTCATGTCCCGGACCCAGTGGCTTAAAACTCATGCCGGGCGCGTGTGCGTGCGTGCCCAAGATCTCAAGAGGAGAATGGAGGAGAAGGGATTGCGGCAGAGTGGCCATCCACTCTGGGGGCTGATTTCTCGCTTTCTCTCTGTTTCTCTCTGTCTGGCTAGCGCACAAGACCTGCATCCAAAACTTACCTGAACTATCCTTAAAAAATTCTTATTTTGTTGTTATGAAACAAGGCGAGGACTGACAGCATGCTCAGTGATAGTTTAAACTGCCATTTCCTAGCTGTATGATGTTAGCCAGGCAAGTTTTCTTATTTGTAATATAATAAAAGAATCCTGGGACCAGCAGTTAGTGTAATGGCTATGTCGCTGGACTCCCATGTAGTCGACCTTGATTCATGTCCCGGACCCAGTGGCTTAAAACTCATGCCGGGCGCGTGTGCGTGCGTGCCCAAGATCTCAAGAGGAGAATGGAGGAGAAGGGATTGCGGCAGAGTGGCCATCCACTCTGGGGGCTGATTTCTCGCTTTCTCTCTGTTTCTCTCTGTCTGGCGAGCGCACATGCCCTATAGCGAAAACCTCTACAAAAAAAAAAAAGAAAAAAAAAAAGAAAAGAATCCCAAGGTCCTAGCCATCATTCGAGACATTTTCACTCCTCTTTGAGTCATTAAGCCCAAGTTTTTAAAAATTCACAGACTTTCTCAAAAAAATCACAGAATTGTGAGAGCTAAAGCCAGTAATTAAATTTGACCCTCTGAACTCCACACCCTTTCTCCTAGCAGAGTGTCCCCTAAATTTCTTTGGCAGTATCACAGAAAACAAAGGTAGTACTATTTTAAAGATTGCTTTCCCCAAGATCCAAAAGACAAAAAAGAGGGACCAGCAGATGGCATAATGGTTATGTTGCTGGACTCCCATGTAGTTGACTGTGGTTCGAGTCCTGGACCCAACACTTAAAACTCATTCTGGGCATGTGTGCGTGAGGGTCCAACATCCCGAGAGGAGAATGGAGAAGGGATTGCAACGTAGCCATCCCCCTGGGGGTGATTTCTTGCTTTCTGTCTCACTGTCACTCCGGCAAGTGCACGTGCCCTATAGCAAAAATCTCTCAAACAAACAAACAAAAAAAGAAAAATTATAAAAGAACAATTATTCAGGAGATCATTCACACATATTTAATCTACTATTTATCACAGCTACCATTTGATATACTATACCATTCATATATTTTTCTGAATAAGTTAGGAATAAAGACATGAAGTAGGAATAAAGACACTAAACTTATAGGACCTAAAGAAATACAGTATGTTATCACCTGGATACAAAGACTTAGTTAGAGTTTCCTCCTAGATGTGTGATTTTGGCATTTCATGACTTATAAAATGTTAATGTACTTAACTTCTAAAATGTTTATGTGAACATGATAATGATTTAGCTATAATGATGACTACTCTGCCTCACGAGGTTACTAACTTGTATAAGTTCTCTTCAATAGATGCTAATAAAAATTAAAACAAACACAAAAAAAAAACAAAAACAAAAAAATCCTTATATATCTTAGCCTATCTATCTTATCCACAGATACCAATAAAATTGAATTTATGTCTAGTTTAATGCGACAATGGAAAAGTCAAAAGTTAAAGGGTAGATAAACTTCCCTTTGTCCCTCTTTTCCTGGGAAACTTTTGAATGTTGAAAATCAATTCCTTTTGTCCCCTTGTTATTCATCTGCTACGCATTAAATAGAAACTCTGGGCATCGAGTGATTCCCGCAGGGTCTTTCATCTACAGAAAAGCCTGGTACAAATTAAATACTTACTCTCCCTCACAAATTATAGTTATGTATTGTAGTAGACATTGATTTATCAGTTCACGTCTCTCTGAGTTCAGCTCGGGGAGACCAGCTAATTGTAGCCTTTTATGTAAAGTTACTTTGGGGTTGAAGATTGTGATGCTGTACTAATTAATGTGGAGCACGACTGTGCTGCTCTCATTTAATAGGCTATGTTTTAAAAAGCATTCTGTTAGGTATTATGTGTTAGTTACATCTGATCCTTGAGCCATTTAAGCTGTATGTGGGTACACATGGGTATATATGTAGGAATTACACTGGAATAATACTAAATAATATTACCCTTGTTGGCAATGTTATGCTATGACCATCAAAATGATTATCAGAAATAATATGGAGATGCAGGCCATACACAAGTTCTCTTAGAAATATTTAGTTGATGCAAACATGGTTTTAGCACTGGACTTTAAGAACAATTGTTAAGGAAGAGATTTTCAATCCTAGACATACAACGTCTTTGGAAACCATAGCTTACACAGTGTATCTCTATTAAATCTCTTTTATTAGAAGGAAACCATACACACGTGTGTATATGTGCATGTGTGTCTGTGCAGGTACATACACACACAAATGTGTGAGTTTAAGTCCCTAAGTACTGCTAGAAGTTTTAAGAATTTCTCATTTATTCACTAAACACATTTAAAAAAAAAAAAAAAACTGCCTGGGACTGGCAGTTGGCATAATGGCTATCTCGCTGGATTCCCATGTAGTGGACCATGGTTCAAGTACCAGACCGGGTGGCTTAAACTCATGCCAGGCAAGTGTGTGTGCATGCCCAAGATCCCATGAGAGGAGAATAGAGAAGAAGGGACTGCAGCATGGCCATGCCCCTGGGGAATGATTTCTCACTTTCTGTCTTTCTGTCTCTGTCTTTCTGGCAAGCGCAGACACCCTAAGCAAAAACCTCTCCAAAAAAACAACTAACAAAAAAAACTGACAAAGAATTTACCTTTTAGGTCTTTCATAAAAAAAACTAATTTTTTTAAATAATTATTTTATTTAACTTTATTTAATTTGACCAGAGAGGGACAGAGCGAGAGAGACAGAGCACAAGAGACAGAAAGAGAAAGTGAGAAAGCAAGCTGCTAGGTCCTCCCGAACCACCGTTGCCCATTGGGAATCCAGTGCCCCTAACCACCATACCTCCCGCTGACCCCAAGAAACAAAATTTGAACAGTTCCTGATCCATCAACAAATGCCTCAATCCCCTAAACTAGTCTACATTTTACATAAAAATCTGTTTGTCTGTGGTCCAAAGTCCACTTTCATTTGTGACCTTCCAGACTCAAAAACGAGTACTCTAATTAGTGACGGCTATGCTTTTATTTGAAGTTTCCATACATGCCTACCTCGCTCGAATCCTCCTGCTGATTGATAACCGCGAGTGCATCCTCAGCCGCCTGCCGCTTGGCCTCGGCAACGGTGCGCTCCATCTTGGCTCGCTCTGTGGTGATCATGTCGTGGGCTTTCCGCTCCGCCTCGGACACGGCCTTCTGCAGCTCGGTCATCGCCTGGCGCTTCACCTCATTGACAGCCTCCTCTGTGTGCCAGTTAGGCCAAACCCGGCAAGAGAACATCTCTCGGTTAGCGCAGGCCCCTGGGTGCTGACCACTTTTTATTAGGATTCAATAGAATAGGCATGAATTGCATCCAGATTGGCGGGCAGTTCTGGCTGTTTCAAAAGCTAGATCTTTAAAATTCATTTAGGAAAGCAAAAGGTAAGAATATTTCTTAACTTTGCATTTCTGGGGGTATATTTTAAATGTCTGTATCATCCTTACAACTTTTCTACTGAATAGTGTCTCCAGAAATGATTCTGAGACCAGTCTAAGTAGCTAAGGGACAAGAACATCTAGAAGAAAACTGGATAATTCAGACACCTAAAAAAGATAGTTTTCCACAACACGGTAGCTTATGTACAAATATATAACATCCATGCATAAAGCATTGAGGGAAAAAATAGAGAAAGGAAATGGAGTCTACACTGACGCATACAGAAGTGCAAACAATTACTTCTCTGGTGAAAAATACAACAAAATAGTGAAAAGGTAACTCAGCAGTAAAGTTAATATAGAACTTTTAAAGAAAATCAGTCCTCAAACAGATGCTCTGTACTTTTTCTTAAGACACTTCAAAGGTAATGTGACTATATGCCATTATAAACTAAATGATAGGGATATTTAAAAGTCATCTTCTAATTTCCAAATTTTAATCTGCTGTCTATCTAGTTCATCAAATATATGCAACAGTTTTGCATAACCAACTGTTGCACTAGACAAACAGAACAGAATCATAACATAGGCCAAAACAATCAAGCCTGACTACAAGCCTTAAGGTGTTGAATTAGCTCTTTATTTTTGGCTGTGGAAAGGGTGCAAAGATCCAACTAATGTACAACGTAAGATTGACAACTAAAACAAGTAATTTCCATTTAAAAAAATTAACTGTTCTAATTAACAAGGGAAAATATCCTCCCCCTGAATTAGTTTATCTAATTTTCATCTTTATTCAAAGCAAAATGACAATGATTAATTGAAAATTTAATAAGCAGTAATTATTAACTTGGCAAACCTAGTACCAATTAACACTCTATTAAAACTAATTATGACATGTTTCATTCAAGTGTTTGCACTTAATTGTTTCACCCACTTAAAAAGCACCTTAATTAAATGTTCTGTTTAATTAAAAACATAGATTCCTAATAAAAATGTTTTACTGTAGATTAAAAATGTAAGAGATGCAAGTACTCTCTAGTTTCATAAAAGTCGAGTTTATTTCACACGTCTATAGTCCATGGCGTGAGGCTCAGTAGAAACTCCGGCTAGCAATGAACTGCCACAACTTCAGTAGCCTGTCATTTTAGCAGCATTATGTCTGAAATTCACTTGTTTTCAATTCCTGTCTGCTAGGTTTTATAAACCAAAATATAAGGGAAGGATCCAGACAGGAAATATTAACTAAAATATGTTAAGCCTTTGTTAGCTACTTTAAGATATGCATTTAAAATCTGGATAGAATCAGAGTATTGCAGACAGAGCTTATAGCACCTTCTTCAACAGGAGGTGAAAAGATGCCTTTATTACCCTATCAAAAATGACTGGGGGCACCAGGGAAGTACTGCCCTTCTAACTATACAGCCAGGGTCTAATTTAGTTTGAATATTCAAGGTGAATTAAAATTCTATCTAAGTGGTAATACAGGACAATAATTTTTGCTTACGATCAAAGCTGTAGCTTGACTAATTGTATATGCAAATCAGGCAATTTATATTTAAATTATGCATTCCTATTCTAATCCCACAGGCATATACAGATCAGCAAAGAGAATTGGTAGGACATTTGCAAGGTGCTTGAATATTTATTACCAACTGCAAACATTCTCTGATCGTTAGAAAAGAAATATACTGAAGAAAACATTCAGTTGCAATTTTAAAACCATTTTTATGTTGGATTTCTTTCCAGTTTTAGAAAACCTTTTGTAACTTTTGAGTGCATTTGTTACCTTTGCTATTACTTAAGAAAAATGTGACTTTTAAGAGGAAACAGAGTGGCCTTCAACATTGATTATGATTTCTATGTACTATTATATATATATTTTTTTTTCTTTTTTCAAACCACCAGATCTAGGACTCAAACTGTGGTCGGCTACGTGGGAGCCCAGTGCCCCTAACCACCATGCTACCTGCTGGTCCCCTGTACTATTATATTTTTGAGGTGATGTGAAAATTTTGCATAGTGTATAATTGAAATAATGGTGTTATATCAGTGTTAATGTTCTTATTTTGTAACTATTGTGGTTACATAAGAGAATATCCTTGTTCTTAGGAAATACACACTAAAACCTTTTGAGTAAAGTGATATTATCTACAACTCAATCTCGAATGATTATGAGATACATATATAGTATATCAGAGGAAGGAAAGAAGGAAAAAAAGACAGGAAAAAAGAAAGGAAAGTCACTACAGCAGATATGGTAAGGATGTAGTGGTTATACTACGTCAAATTTTGAGAGTTCTGCCCCTTTGGTATTTTTTCAAAGGCTTTAAACTTTATTTACTTATCTTTTCCACAAAGTTAATGTATAATATTTTCATTGCAAAAACATACTTTATAGGCTTTTTCTGAAGAAAAAAAATATTTGCCCAGAACCAGTGTTAGAATTTTAGAAAAAAAGCTTCCCAATTGTAACAAGCTGAGTATAGATTCTTTTCTGCCCTGGGTGTTTCCATCATGTTGGATACCTTCACACTGCAAACAGTAGAAATGCCTTTTAAGAAACCTATAAAGATAAATATTGTGAGGAGTTATTGCAGTTTTCCAGGTGAAACTGTCACCTGTACTTTAAGGATTTCTTATAATTTCTTAAAATTTAGCATTCATCCATTAAAAACTAGTCCCAGAGGGCTCTTATGCACTAGATTAGGCATATCATTGTGAGAAGAATGTGAATTTAATCTGCATCACTACCAAGTCTATTTTAGATTGAAGACCTAATTTAGATGATGCACACGTCTAAAAATTAATCCAAACCTTTCTTTGATAAGGTTTGATACTTTTTAAGAGTGCATGGACATAAAAGAACTACATATTGTTCTTTCTCTCTCTTCTAAGTCTCCAAAACCTAAAGTACATATAAAATTGAGTTCAGAAACTCACAAAACAGTGAAGGAAAAGAAATGGTGGATTCAATAGATTACAACATGTCAAGTAGGAAAAAACAATGATTAAATGGAAAATAAATAGTGCAGTTGTGAATCTGCTTCCAATTGCTTACCACTTACGGTAGGACTTCCTTTGTGCCTATCTATTCAACTTGACTTTCCAACAAAAGTAGTATATTCAGAAAAATCTGCACTCACTTAATAGCAATCAAACAAAGACTTGCACAGATAATAGCACAGAAGGACTTGGGATTACCCAAGACCTTACTGTCATGCTTTTCTTTTTGAACTATCAAGAATTTAACATAAATACCTCTAAGTAAGAGAAAGGCAGAGAAAGAATCTCTCTGTTCTGAGTAAGAAGCCATCCTTCTGCTGTCCAAAATGATAATGTTTTGTACCTTTTATTGGAATACATTGCACTGACTGCTTAAAAATGAGGGGGAAAAATGGTCAAAAAAAACATCTAGCACCTTTTTCATGTGGGTGGCCCCACAGCAAATGTTTTAACTGCTTGGAGGATCATATAGATAAATCTGGAAATAACATGTAGCTGAGCAACAAATGTATTTTCACCTTTAAGTTGAATGAATCTATCTGATTTGCATATTGGACATTCAAAAGAGCTTTCTGGTTCTTAAAGCTACTAAGCCTATAATACTCTTAGAGTTTGGAACTCATTATCACTCTTAGAAAAGGAAGTGTTTCTTAGAAAGTCTATAAAAACAGATAAGTAAGACAGAAGTGCCCAGAGAGTCAGCAAGTTGCACAGAACTGCAAACATGGCTGAGTCAAATAAAAATTCAAGAGAAATTTTCTGTAGGGGAAAAAAACAAACAAAAAAACAACACATCCATTTCCCTCGACTTTGATTACTGTTGCCAGCTCTATACTCATTTGACTGCAGTTAGCATCTCCTAGTTTTGCAACTCTTGTATTGAAAATACAAACTACTGTATTTGAACAGTGGAAATAACAACAGCTCAAAGCCACAGTCCATTTTTCATTTTATATGTCATCTTTAACTCCTGGAAAAGGTTTATGCTTTATCTCCTAAGTTCGTTTTTGTAAAGATTTTTGCTCAGCTGGCATTCTATCAAAAATCTGCTAGATTTGAATTTCTTTAAGGCCAATAACTCAATGGGCAGTATGGACTTTCCCTA